CCCTCCATGGCAGTGATCAAGAGGAAGACATGGGATTTATTAAAGATATTAAGATATTAAATGAAGGGGCAGTGACATTAAGCTGGATCTCACTTCGCACCCATCCCGGAGCGAACACCTTCCATGGGGGGTGCACTCAATGCTAAAAAAATGTCCCTCCATGGCAGTGATCAAGAGGAAGACATGGGATTTATTAAAGATATTAAGATATTAAATGAAGGGGCAGTGACAATATGTCTATTTGCACAACAGTAGACCCCTGTTCATGGCACAACCCTATTTTTGCATTAACTTTTAGGTGAGCCTTTAAAAAAACCACCAGCTTAAAAGAATGAAAGAGTGTTGAATACATAGAAGTCTAAATTCAAAATATTTTTCTAATCTTTCTGTGGATTCCATAATGCAGCAGTCTCCATTACTTCAGCATGAAGCCTTGTGTCATCTGGTCCAGGTATAAAGTCCTAAAACCCAAAAACTAAAACTAGAGTTGAAATCCAGAGCTTCTGAAGCACACTCCAAGATATGATAACCTTGCATTCAGCATGTTACTAATCTGAAGTCCTAAGATATATTGGGAAATATATCAGCAGTAGTCTCCAACTCTTCTTTCTCTTTCATTTTCTCTTCTCTGTACCATCAAGATGACATAAATATTAACATTAAAATATTAATCTGGATCTTCTCTGATGTGCTACATATCTTTCAGGTACATTTTATTTTAATATGAGCCAGTATGGGATACCTGCTTTTTTCCACACTGAAGCAGATCCCAAGTAAATCAGTGGCTGATTCACACATCATACTATGTTTCAGATGATTTTGACACAGTTCATTTTATGAACTCAACAAGCGTGTGGATTATATTTATTATGACTATTCACTCAAAAAGAAGGGAAACAGACAAATGGTAGTCTTTCAAAATATTTCAATATCAATCTTTCAGAAATAGTTTTCAATCTATGCCTCAAATATTAATACAAACATTGCCTTATTTCCATACTGACTGATTCAGTATTTCTTTTCTAGACTCAATGCTACTATTGCAAAAACTTCAGTTGATTTCCCAAACAGTTGTATTTAATATGAAGAGATTTTGTGACCAAGCCACATTATACAAATGTGATTCTTACATCAATAGCCATTACTTTTCTTTGCGAAATGTATCAAAAAAGTCAAAGATATAATTTGTAGTTGGCCTATCAAAAATTATGAAAGCAGTTTCCTCTTCATTATGTTGAAAAACATTGGGTAACTCCGCATTTCCTAGTTAGTTTGGATGTAAGTCTTCTGTCCATCTATATTTCCCTCATATCTTTCATAAACCACATCTCATTAGATCTATTGTTGTAATTACATTCCATCAATTCCTGGTTCTCTTGTCACTTCCATATGTAATTTGTTCCAGTAGCCCACTTATCGTTGCGTTGTCCTGGTTCCAGAGGTGGGTTCCTACCAGTTCGCACCAGTTCGATAGAACCGGTTCGTCAAATCTACCAAACTGGTTAGAAGAGGTTCCACCAGTGGACCCGGAAAGCAGGCCANTGTGTGTGTGTGCAATATATATATTACACACGGATTAAAGGCAGAGTTTTCATGGTTATGACCTGGAAGTAAATCCTACTGAAAGTAATTAGATTTACATTCATGGAGTCTATCCTAAGGAATATGCGTGTTGTGTGCCCTGTAAAGAGCAGAACTATCTTTATTGGCATTTGATTGCTCAGTCAGAAAATAATAAAGCAATCCTATTTCACTTGGGTCACTTTCAGGTAAGGGAATTAAGGTGTAATATGAAAAAATCAATGGCATAGAGATTAATTCTTTGAAATGTACTTTGAAAGCTGAATGCAAACATGATTTGTAAAGAAGAAATTCAAGACAGAACATACTGTATTATAAAAAAGATAGCAATCTGCCAATGAAATCAATGGGTTGTTCATTACTTTTACAGTAGATGTTAAAAAGATGGCAAAAATTGTAGACTACAATACAGTCCCATCCTATTCAATACATATTTTCATATTTATAGGAAGTTAATATTGCTATGTTCAGATTATTGAAAAGGAAGCTTGCATAATTTGACAAGTTTAAGGTTTCAATCAAATTAGATTCTATGATTACTTTATGTGGGATTCAATGTAGCTTTTAAAATATATCTATCAGATCTATAAATTTGTCTAGGAAAAATAATATCTACTTTGTTATAAAACAATTTTATGACTAATTTAATTCCACCAAGCATCTATTTCATAAATCACAGTTTAAAATTATGTGAATTACTGATACAGGGAAAAATTACTGAGATATTATCACCATCGTTGTTGTTATTGGATACAGGAGGCTGGTATTGCTTCAGCAGAGAGAATTGCAATTCTCGTTATGAAACAATGAGGAGATTAATGAGCTCCAAGGAGTGGCCCATTACCAGAACTGGTAAATGTTTTTTATTCTAATTAGACTGAGATTTACATTGTGCATTATATATTGTTTCTGCTGTCTCCATAAATGCATAATTCTGAATACACATTTATGCTTATCTTTAGTAATATTCTATTATTTGTGTGGAATAAATAACGCTTGGTTTATTCATTTAGCATTTACNACTTTTTTAAAACACCACAGAATGAGCTGTCAGCCTGACAAAATGCAACCCCTTCCTTCGTCCTCCTCCTCCTCCGTCACTAACAGCTGGGGGCTTAGAAATCGGAGCGAAAAGCCAGTCCTCCATCTCTTCCCTCTTCCTGGATTCACTCTGAAGTTTTTTAAATCCCCCTCCTGTGCATAAACATTCATTCAGCCTCTCCCTCTCTCCCCCCCCCTCTCTCTGTCTCTCTCTGTATCTGTTTGTCTCTCACGCTCTGTGTGGCTCTTTGCCTCTATCTCCCTCCCTCCCTCTGTCTCTCTCTGTCATTCTCTCTGTCTGTCTGTCTCTCTGTCTGTCTCTCTCTCTGTCTCTCTCTCTGTCTCTCCTCCCTCCCTGTGTGTGTGTGTGTATGTGTGTGTTTCTCACTCTGTGTGTGTCTCTCTCTGTCTCTGTCTGTAAGCCCCTGTCGTCCTGGATCAGGCTGAGCTGCCTGTCCTTCAACACCTCCCGCGGGTGCACATCCATTGTAAAAGCCATCGGGTCGTCCAAAGTAGCGGGGCTCAGCAGGACCTTGGCTGAATGCGTGCAAACACTCAAGTTTGTTGCTCACCGCTCCTCAATTAGTTGCAAAGTTCTCTCCAGAGATTCTGGCGGGCGGAGGCAGCGCTTGCCTCTCGAGCTTCGGCTAAGGGGATTTTTTCTGCGGGACGGAGCCTGGGCGGTAGGGAATTTCCCCGCTGAAGTAGAAGGCGAGGCTTTCAAACTAGTCTGATCTTGCTTGAAAAGGTTGCTGTGGCGGAGCAAAGGGTGCCCTGGCCCTGATTCCCTCCTTCAGTTGGTCTCTGGAATTTCCCCCCCTTTTTTTTTCTACAGAAGGAAAAGGTTTTTTGACTGGGCAGCTCGACATCATTAAGGCTGTTCTGCTCCTCCTTTGCGCTTCTTGCATGGGCATGCGCTGCCCTCTTCTCTCTGATAGCCGCCTGGTTAAAAAGGAGGAGGAGCCCATCCAGGAAGACGAGGAACACGAGGGGGATCCCTGCCCCCGTGGATGGGCTCTGGACTAGCGGAGCCTCCTCTTCCTCCTTTTTAACCAGGCGATCATTTTAAACAGGCGATCTTCGGCTGCTGCACAATCCCAAGGGCATGTGCTGCCCGGTTTGCTGAATCCAGCGCGGCTTCAGAGAAAGAAGGCGTGCGAGAAAGCCCCCCCCCCTCATCCCCGCTGCCTGAACATTTGAATGAAGGAGGCTGCAGGCTCCTTTGTCCTCGGCTATGCGATTTTCTTTCGTTCTCTGCTATCCGAACAAGTGAATGAGGCAGAGGGAGAATGAAAGGAGATTGCGTCCCTTCTGTCTCCCCGTTG